TGCCATAGATGTTGGGCCAAGCAGGTCCTGCCTTGGGAGGCAGAGAGCTGGGAGCCAGGCAGGTAGGACCTGTGCGGTGGGGTGGGCCCTCTCCTGGCTCTGCAGAGGAGGTAAAAGACTTATAGAGCTGAAGGCCCTATCTCCCAGCCCCACTCAGCCCACAGAGGTAGGAGAAACACTGCCCCGATCACTGCTGCTGCCGCTGCCGTGACCCACTGCACTACTGTCTTGCTCCAAGCCTGTGTGTGCAGATCCCTTCCAGGCACAATGCCTTGCAGGTTTTATGTGTAACAGAGTGGGGGAATCAAACGCAAAAAAGAAAACTGCTCCCCATAAGAATGTCATCCAGACTTCAACTTTCTCCATCCAGCAAGCAATGATGATGATGATGATGGTGATTATTGTGTCATTACTTACTTGTAACACATCTGAAATCTATTCTGGTTTACAGGATGAGATAGGGATCCTAGCCATATTTCCCCCCACTGGTTGGGGGTCCCAGTTATGGCTTGATGGCCTTCTCCCCCAGTGGTGTGAAACGCTACTTTCCTCACAACATCGATGCTTATAAGGAATACATCTGGGACTATTTCTGGACTTTCTATTCTGTTTCATCCACTGTGGAATGCTAGGACCTGTGCATACTGTTTTATGTAGCTTTATAAAACAACTTACTTTCTAGAGGGCAAGTTGCCCAATATTATTACTTGTCCTTTAAAAATATTCCATCTAAACTTTGGGATAATTCTGTTACATTCTCTTTTTTTTTTTTTTTTTTTTAAAGAAAAAGGGGGTGGGCTGGGCAGGTGTGGTGGCTCACTCCTGTAATCCTGGCACTTTGGGAGGCCGAGGCAGGCAGATCACTTGAGATCAGGAGTTAGACCAGCTTGGCCAATGCGGTGAAACCCCATCTCCACTAAAAATACAAAACTTAGCTAGGCATGGTGGCACAAGCCTGTCATCCCAGGTACTCAAGAGGCTGAGGCAGGAGAACTGCTTGAACCCAGGAGGTGGAGGTTGCAGTGAGCTGAGATCAGGCCACTGCACTCCAGTCTGGGCAACAGAGTGAGACTCCATCTCCAAAACAAAAACACAAACAAACAACCCCCACTACTAGGGCTTTGATTGCATTTAAATTTAGAAACTACTCTGAGGAGAAATAATCCCTTTACAATATTGCATCTTTCTTTTTAGGACCGTATGTCTCCATAATTTAGGTTTTCCTCTGCAGTCCTCAGAAGCTCCTTCTTAAAAAGCCCTGTGCTTTCCTGGGGAGCTTATTCCTAGTTTGTTCCTTGAGTTTTGTGCAGCTAGAAAATGGTGTTAGAAAAGCTCTGATAACGGTAGGAGTTCACTCCACAAGCCCCCTGCGATTTTCTCATTTCACTGCTGGGAAGAGAGCGTAGGCAGGCTAGGTGGCTGCACCAGAAGATGAGCCTGGGCTCTTAGTGACACAGTCCCTCACTTCGAAGAGAGAGGGTGTGGCAGGATGCTGGGCAGGGGGATTGCCTGAGTCTCTTCCTGTGTTATGAGTCTGATTTCTTTCCAACTCCATGGCTCCTGTCTGAGTTAAGCTCAACTTCCAGACCCTAAAACTACAAGAGTGAAGAGCTGAGTCTGTCACTCCCTCCAGTAGAGGATGCTCCCATAGGTCAACTCAAATCAGTGCCCTGGCTGGCGTGGGCTAGGCATCTCATACAACACTGCTTTGTCGAATCTTCCCAGCCATTCAAATATAACAGATATAATGCCTGAAGCTCAGAGAGATTCAGTAACTTGCCTGAAGCCACTCAGCTTATGCATGGCAGAGCTGGGATTCAGAACTCGGGTAGTGTGACTCCTGAGACATGCTGATCCCTGAGTTTCAAAGCTTTTTTTCTTTCTAATGGGAGCAGGGAGACCTAAAGTTCCTTATCTAGGTTCAGAGGGTACAAACTCACCTCCTTTCCCCAAGTAGATGCCCAGCTTCCCAGCACATCATCCCTGTCACTCTGCTAACAAGAGCAGGTCTGTGTTGACTGCTAAAGCATCCAGGCTCAGGGATGGAAGGGTGCTGGTCAGAGCTGGGCAGTGGGAGGCACGGCCCCCTCGCCCTGTGAATCAACTTCCCTGGCCTGGGTGTAGGGGGCCCCAGAGGCCCCACCATCTTTGAATAAGGGGTGTTATCTCGTAATCTTGAGGAAGAAAGACCTGTTGATACCTACTAAGATTCCTTTTAAAAAACTACTACCTGTTACCTGAGAGAGTAGCGGGGCAGCTCTGGCCAGGGTTCAGCCAACCTGACAAAGGGGAAATATGCAAAGGCAGGAAGGTGAAGGCAGTGGGGGTGGGGGGCAGCGGGCGGGAGTCACTGAAGACAAACTTAAGATGTCTCTCGAGGCTTAGCCAGGACTAGAAGGTAGCTATGGGACTGGGCAGTGGGTGGATGTGTGGAAGTCAGCTGGTCCCCTGCCCTGGCCGACATCAGGCTGGAAGCAGATGAGAGTGGACCAAGAGGACAGATAGGCCAAGGGGCTCTAGCATCTCATGGCTGCACCTCTTATCAAGTTGGTCACTGCTTCTGTATCTCAGTTTCCCATTCTACAAGATGGGCGTGCTGGACTCAAAGCACCCAATGTTCTCAGTAGAAGAAATCGAGAAGAGAAAGGAGGCTTCCCCCACAAACCACAGCCAGGCTCAGTGAGAAGATCAGAGGCCTGCCTGTCCTGCTCCCTCCCCAAGGCACCTCACTGCCCAGCCGGTGCTCCGGAAACAGCCTCCTGGGTGCAGCAGGATGAGCACACTGGACTTACAGACTCCTGTTGCTCAGAGAGGGGCAGTGACTAGTCCAAGGCCACACAGCTCTCAAGCTTAAGGGTCTGCTGGAGGCACACACCTCTTTCCTTCTATCTCTCCCTCCCCGCTTTCTGCTGCCCGCCCCACTCACCCAGGGTGTGATGGGAAGGAAGTGACACTTCCTTTCATGAAAAGTCACTGACTGGGAACACTGCGTCAATTACCACAATAATGGTAACAGCAGCCTCAATAACAACCGGCAGACTCCACCCCGCCCCCTCGGCTGAGGTTGTTGGCTTAAGTTTCTCTGAGCTTGAGCTGGAGCGAAACAAAGACAGCCTTTGAAGCCGCCAAGCGGCGGGTCCACTCGGCGGCCCGGGAGGGGCGACAGGCCAAGTCTCCGCGGAGCTTGCTCTGGCAGTTTGGGGAGGGGAGGCCTGCCAAAGGCTGAGCTGAAGCCAGCAATGCGGAGAAACGCGATGGGCCTGGGGCCCACCCCCATCCCCACCAGGGCACAGGTGCAGCTGAAGCCACAGCCCAGCCTCAGTACCTTAGCTTGAGGGAGGGCGAGAGAGACAGGGTCTGGGGGCAGCTGAGGCTACAAGCGCCACCAGAGGGTAAAGAAAGGGAAGAGGGTGCGGGGGACACTGAATGTGAGGCTACCAACTTCCAAGCCCCACTCTCCCTGTCCCTCTTACCGGGCTCTTCTGGGATGTCCTAAAAGCCCCTATTCCAGGATGGGGCTCAACCCTCACTGTCCCTCCCCACCGAGTCTGGGCCACGTTTGGTGGTGACTGACAGTGAGAACTCCCCAGAAGGTTTCGTGTGTTCCCATTGCACCTACGGGGGGCAGAAGCTCAGAGGTGCCAAGTGACTTGTCCAAGATGTCTCCCAACTGTAGAAGCAGATTTTCGGAGGCCCTTTCCATCTCTGCCACGTCAAGTTCTAGGCCCCAGGCGGGTCCCTACGGCCTAGATTGGGCTCTGGGCTCTGCTGTGAGGTGAAGCCCTCGAGCTCCCATCTCCCACCCCTCCTGTGCTCTGGCGTTGCCTGTAGTCACAGAGACACCACCATGTGTATGGGCTTCCACCAACGGGGCCTGCGTGGGGCGAGGCACCTGTTGTCCTCCCTTGGGGCCCGCAGAGCCCTTCTTGCTGGCCCAAGACTCCGCAAACAAAAGGGCACTGGCCCCGCGGTGCCTCAGGACCCCCTGGGTCCTTGGGAGTCCTGCATCCCTCAAGCCCTAACACACAGGCGCGGAGTGGAGGGTGACGCGACCCTGGCCCGGGCAACTCCTGGACACCGCGGAGTGACTGAGTAAGGTCCCGGGTTGCCCCGCAGCTCGGGCCGAGCACGAAGCCAGGAATCTCCTGCATGCTCGAAGCCTGCGCTCCTGCCCTCTTCTCCCTCTTCTCCCGCCTCGAGCCCCTCGGCCGCCAGCCCATCCCTTCTCAGACCAAGGGAAGAGAAGGGGACACACTATGGACAGGAGAGGAGAGCAACCAGGAAAGCGACCCCTCTCCTGCGGGGCTGCGGTGGGTGCGCGGAGAAACCCGAGAGGAAAAGAGAGAAAGGAAGAGAGAGAACGGACTGGGGGCGAGAAGCCGGGCGGCCCGGACCATCGGCGCAGCCCGCGATCGAAAGAGGAACAGTCGAGCCTTCAAAGCGCATTGAGCAAGTTCTTCATACCCGCGCAGCCCCTTTCAGGAAACGGCGGCCGCAGAGGAAAGCGCCGCGCGCCCAGGACCCGGCGCCTGTGCCCGGCGGGCGCCGCGGTTCTGAAACCCGCGGGATGTCACGGGGCGGAGGGGCGGCTGCCGACAGCTGTCACAACAAATTAGCTGAGCCCAGCTCGAGGTGGAAACCGCAGCAGGAAGTGGGACGACGGAGACGTACCGGGCTCGGCACATTTCAGGCAAGAGACGGCGAAAAGAGTTTCGAGATAAACGCCCGGGAAGCCCCTGGCCGCCAAAACTTTTTGTCTTTCCTTTTCTCGAAGCGCGCGCGGACGCCCAGCCTCACCCCTTCCGCGCCGGCCGGGGGGCGTTTAAACCACGGACCAGGCTTGCTCCCCTGGGCCCGCACCCCGAAGCCCACCCCGGGCCCCTCTCCGCCCCCCACGGCGCCACCGACGGCTACGAGGACTGGGGGAACCCGGAGCCGGCACCTTGGCCCTCCCTGCAGGGCCGCCGAGCCCCGGCCCGGGCCCCCGCAGAGCCGCTTACCCATGGCCCGGCGAGGTCCAGCGGCGCCCGCCCCGAGACCCTCAGCGCGTACCCGTACGGACCCCACGCTCCTGGACCTACTGGCTCACGGTGCCGCCCGCCGGTCGCCTCCCCGCAGCCCCGCCCCGCCCCACTGTGGGCTCCCATTGGTGGGCCCGGCTCCTTCGTGCCGGGACCGCCCCCTGAGCCCAGGGACCTCTGGGAGTTGTAGTGCGCGCCCTCCCTTCCGAGTGGGGCCCCTAGAATAGGCTCATTTCCTAGAGGGGCGGAGGCAGGACTCCCAGGAATCATTGCTGCCTTGTGCCTCAGTTTTCCCGGAGGCAAAACTAGAGTTTGGAAAAATCCTCCTTGCTTTCAGTAGAGCACTGAGGTCTCTGTGGAGTGAGCGAAGTGCTTTTGACTTTGATTTGAAAGTGGCCCTTTGCATTTCCCATTTCCCACCCAGCCCAACATAGAGGGCCAGGTGAGGTCCGGAGCGGCGGCTCACGCCTGGAATCCCTTCGCTTTGGGAGGCGGAGGCAGAGGGCGGGTGGATTACTTGAGCCCAGAAGGTAGAGGTTGCAGTGAGTTTTGATCACACCACTGCACTCTATCCTGAGCAACAGATGGAGACCCTGCCTCAAAAAAAAAAAAAAAAAAACTCAAAACAACAACAAACAGGAGAGGTGGTTAGTGTGAGTTAGACAAGGACCAAACTAGTAAATCCTTGGCCTAGGCTCTGTGGCTAGGCCTGCCAGTAATAGTCAATGTCCACATAGTAATGCAGACCGAGAGAGGAAGCTACAAGCTGAGCAGTCCAAAGAGAGGGCATGAGTTCAGGCTGTGGGAGGTGGAAATGAGGCCTAGGAAGAATGAAGGCAGGAGGAAGTGCCCAGCCAGCCATAGCAGTAACTTGGACCTGTGGGGGCCAAAGTGGAGGAAACAGGGGGTCAGGGTTTCAGTCTTAGCAGGTGGCTAGTTAGGACGTGAACCCTGTTCCTAGCACATAGAAGCTACACAAAAATCTTTGTTGACAATTAATTTTTTTCTTTTTTTTTTTTTTTTAAGACAGGGTTTCACCATGTTGGTCAGGCTGGTCTTGAACTCCCGACCTCAGGTGATCTGCCCACCTTGGCCTCCAAAGTGCTTGGATTACAGGTGTGAGCCACCACGCCCGGCCTGTTGATGAATTTTAATACGCATGATAGCTCTATGCACTTGACACCATCACTGTCCTCATTTTATAGGGTAAAACTGAGGTCTGATAGATTAACTTAAGTATCTCAGCTGGTAGGTGTTGGAGCCAGAGCTAGACCCAGGCATCCCCCCCACCCTCTTTGCACCCATTACTGACCACTCATCATACTGGTGCTCCTCCTTACACTAAATGAGTGGACCAGGGATGTAGTTTGGTGAACCTGAAATCCTGGCCTGGAAAATGTCTGCAGGCTCAGTCCACAGCAGACAACACCGTGAGCTCTTCAGGATAAATCCCCTGTTTACCTCGTAATGGGCTGGCTTGTAAGAGCCAGCACCTGTACAGTTGGTAACAGACACCTAGAACAATTATAATGGTAATTGTAACAATGCACGCCACTTCCAAGTTTACAAGCCACTCTCATGCCACTTCCAAGTTTACAAGCCACTCTCCCCTCCAGGAGAGCTAAGGCTATGGTGGAAGACACTATGATGGGATGCCATCAGGAAGCACCTTTGTCCATTCTAGAAGCATTGATTGACAGGCACTATGCCCAAGGTTGGAGAGGGAGGTCTGGATGTGGCCCCCGGTGTCACAATCTAGGCCAATCCCTCACTCGTGGGTTGGCTACCCCTACTGACAAGGAACTCACTATCTCATAAGACAGCAGCTCATCCCACCATGAGGTAGGGTTATTCTGCCGTCTGGGCAGCTGGATACATTCTGACAGACAGGGGCTGTTGTGCAAAGCCTCAGCAAGTCAACACCGGCCTGTGCCAGCCTGGGAATGATAGGATCTAAATTTAATTGCTTCCTGAGGCAACTGTTTGCAATAGAAAGTAATTTACAATGGCCAATAAATCCTGTGGAAAACAGACATCTCCATTCATCTGGCTAAAAGCATAAACACTTGCATTGCTCAAGCCTCCATGTCACACACCTCCACTCCCGCCCACAGCCACGCTCCTCCTGCACCCTCCAACCACAGGATCCCAGGCCAGGATTGCCCCTGTGCCTACAGAGAGGGTCACCTAGCCCCTCAATGTCCTGGTGTCTCAATAAAAAGAAAAACAAACCACTTACTAATAAACACATTCTTCCTGTAAAAACATGCAAGTAAATCGGCCCTCTCTGATGCTACCCCAAATCCAGTTTCCTCCCTGTCCCAGTGGTAAGGATGCATCAAATTAAGTGAAGTCTTCCAGAACTTTCCGTATGTATTTTCTTAAATATATATGTATCCATGGTATAGAAAAACATATAGCTTTGTTTTTTTGTGTGTGTTTAAAGAAACAATACAATTCTCATTGCTCCATTCTGAAACTTGCTTTTTTGATCACTACTAGATCTTAGAGACATTCCTTGCTAGAACACAGATCTGCTTCTTTGGGAACTGCTGGGCTTTGTGCCCAAGACAGTGTATTTAATCTCCTCTTGATAACATTTAATCTTTTTGCGATTACATGAATCCTGCTGAGAACATTATAGACCTCCTCAGAACAGTTTCAGGGTTAAGGAGCTCACAAAGTGTTCCCAGGGACTGAGCTAAAAGCTGCTATCTAACTCCTGCCTCTATGCCCTAGCACCTCTTGTTGGCCCATTTCTAGGAAGAAAATCTGGCCCCGGGGGTGGTTCTCATCCTGGAGCTCTCAGAGCTGTAGGGATCATTCAAGATCGTCTGTCCACTTGGCCTCACTTTAAAAAGGAGGCCACTAGGCCAAGAGAGGCTAAGCAAACTGCCCAAAGTCACACAGCAAAATCAGTGCTGTTGTTTCTTCTGGGACCCGCAAACCCATCCAGTGCCCTCAGGAAACATAATGCACAGCTAGTCTTCTACCCTGGGAAGCTCAGTTCCCAGGCTCAGCAGTTGCCAAAGGCCCCTAGGGCTTTGTTTTCAAAGGAGAAATGAAGCAGGGAAGTATTTTTAACGCGGCCCCGCCCTGCTTCCCTGACTCCTCGTTCCCCGTGCTAGCTGTCCAGGAAAGGCTGGCTTCACAGCGGCATTTGCAACTCATGGAAAACAACAAATTCCCGAAATAGATGATACCCAAGTTCAGGAATGGAAAAAATTGGCTCATGGTTTCAAATGTTTCTTTTAGAAAAAGACAAGAATAGCTTTTGGCCTTTGGGGAACTGCTGGGGGTGAGGGACTGAGGAGGTGGTGGTGAGTCCCAGATCATCAAGGGCCAACTTACGGCCTGAAAGAGCTTTGGCCACTGTACCCCAGGGCGCTTGTAAACCAGCTTCCCGAGCTTTGTCCACACTGGAAGCTGCATCTGCACCTGGCTGTAGGTTCCCTCCAACCTCCAGCCAATCTGGAACAACATCCTGTGTTGGGCCAGGGCTGGGCTGGGCTCCCCTCTCTGCCTCACTTCTCTCTGCCACTTCCCAGCAGGGTAGAAACCCATGGTTCTGAACTTCCTGAGCCTGAGGGGTGGAAGCTGAATTCCCCTGGGGGAGGGAACAGAGGGCAAGGAGAGAAAATTGGGGTTTTCAGCTCTACTCAGACACAGCCCAGTTGTGTGGCCTTGGACAAGTCACATAACCTCTCAGGGCCTCAGGCCCCTATTCTGAAAAGTGGGATTAACACTCCATTTTTTTCAGTCATCCACTCATCCAACATGCATCGTGTGGTCCTACTATGTGCCAGCACTGAGCTAGACATGGGATGTAGTCACAACCAGAACAAAGTCCCAATCCTTGTGGAGCAGAAGGTGTAGCCCTTGCCAACTTCACAGGCTACTAAGAATCAGTCCCTGCTCCAGCGACTCAACCAAGGCCTGATGTCGAAAGGGGTGAAAAATGCCTTGGACCAGGGCTGACCCTAACACACACTGCACCAAGCGTCTTGCGTGGAGTATTTCATTCAATGTCACTCTAGCCCTCTGAAATGGGCACTGTAACTATATCTATCCCCTTATTACTATTGAGAACCAGAGAGTCTGGACAAGCCCGCAGGCTTGTCCACAGACAGGAAGGAGTAAGTTTGGATTGGGTGAGGGCCAGGCACTGGTAAGTCCCAGGGTCAGGGTAAGCTCCATGTGAGTCTCGACTGGAGCTCAGCACAAAATGCACAGGACAAGGAATCTTTTAAAACTGTTGGGTGTGGCCGGGTGCAGTGTGGCTCACGCCTGTAATCCCAGCACTTTGGGAGTCCGAGGCGGGCGGATCATGAGGTCAAGAGATCAAGACCATCCTGGCCAACATGGTAAAACCCCGTCTCTACTTAAAAAAAAAAAAAAAAATTAGCTGGGCGTGGTGGTGCGTGCCTGTAGTCCCAGCTACTAGGGAAGCTGAGGCAGGAGCATTGCTTGAACCCAGGAGGCAGAGGTTGCAGTGAGCTGAGCTCATGCCACTGCCCTCCAGCCTGGCACTTGGTGACAGAGCGAGACTCTGTCTCAAAACAAACAAACAAAACAACAACAACAAAAGTTGGGTCTGTGTGGCACTATTACTTAAAATAAGGTCTCAAGCCGACCCTTCCACTCTCTGTTGTATGTCAGATGACCCTCCCACTTGACAGAAGAGTAAACCGAGGCATGTAGCAGTGAAATGACTTCCGACAACCAGACCTACCCAACTCCCTCACTGGGCCAAGATGAGGCGGGAGAGGGGCAAGGGGTTGGGCTGGGGGTGGGGGTCCCTAGGTGACGGGGGCGTGCCTGGGGCCAGGAGAGAACTCCATCTCCCAGGATGCCATGCAAGGAGGGCGTGTACGGACTGGGCCTCCGCGTAGGCTGGGCTGTAATTTCTTGGTATTTAAAAAAAAAAAAAAAAAAAGAGCAAAAGGAAAGAGAGAAAGAATCAAAGGCTCAAGCGTCAAGTCTAGGAATAGCGCCGGAGTTGGGCCAAGTCATTAGAGACGATGAGTAATCCGGTTAAGTCATTTCTCTAAACACCATTCCTTGTAAGAGAATTAAAATATCAGCTTAC